TTTAATAATGTCATTTTAAGGGCTCTGCATTTATTCCATGAATGCTGCCTTTATTGTTCAGTTTTTCTTAATTACCTGCATTCACTTTAAAAAACAGAAAAAAAGAGAAACAGTTGCAAAAGAAAGCAGTCAGAAAGAACATACATAGAATTGAAAAAAGACCTTGCTCTAAATTCTAGGTTTGGCATTTACTAACTTAGTAATGTGAACTGGAATAAGTAGAAAACCAGTTTTGTTTTTCTGTAAAATGGCAAGAGTAGTATACCCACCTTCAAGGTGGATGAGTGTAAATTAAATTGTGCGATTCCCAGGCAAGTTGCACACAACCACCACCTTATGAGGAAATTCATATTAGACATCAGTGTCACCAATAATGCATTTCTCTAATAAAGCACGCATTACTATATGTTTTGTATCTTTGGAAGTTGCTCCTGGAAATCACTAATAATAAATTCTAGGTTCCAAGGGTTTTAATCTAATTTGCCAAGCAATTCATTTAAAGCCTGAAAAGAAACTACTATCAAGATATTGACTCATTACGTTTTTATGCTTTTAATGAAAGCCATGGCCAGATACAGCTAGAAAAATGATCTCTGTCCTCCACCATGTCCTTATCATTGCCTTCTTATGTGTTTCCCTTGTCACTTACTGATCTACTTTTCTATACTACACGGGTCTAAATTTCATCTCAGCCTGTAACATCAAGAGGATTTTGTAGTAGGAAACCAAAGCGGTAGTTGCAAAGATTTATCCAGGTTTTTAGGTCTGTAATTACTACAATAAACACATTAAACTCATCTCTATTAATAGTATTAACTACAGGCATGCTTCATTTGCTAGTATGAAGAACAGTGCAATTGATAATATCTGTGATTTTTTCTTTAAGCAATTCACTCTAATGAATTGCCTAAAGCTGTTGATTTCTGGATAGTACACATCATCCCTTCTAAGTGGGGTAATGTTTTGTGCAACAAGAAGGAGGGTGAGTTTTCTCCGACTTTCTGTTGATTATGGGGGGTGAGGTGGGAGAAGAGAGCAACACTGAGGTAGAAGATCACTGGATGACAATTCTTCTGCTTTAGTGCAGAATTATTGTTTTTCCATGTAACTTATGCATGTTACAAACAACCTCTGCTTTCCTCTGTGCTCCTTCCTTCCCCACCTACAATATAGGATTTTGCTATTTATCCATTTCATGTCCCCATGTATGAATAACATTACTAACTAGTACAATGCATGTGGCACATGATTATATATGAGAATTAACATTAAAAATCATCTATATGTTTCTGATAATTTTGGATAGTTCTTTATTCTTACGGTGGAAAATTACAAATGAGATCATTTTGGTTTTATGTGTCTTCATGCTTAGGTAAAGCTGGGAGTATCTTTGGCTCTCAATAAACTATGTATTTAGCAAGAAGGGTTTTATTTAAAAGATAAATATAAATTTTTGCCACATACAATAGAATTCATTGATGTATGTTTATTTCAAAAGTAAACATAAATGGTAGCAATATGTTGTAATACCATAAGCTAAATATTATGTTAAGCTTTTAAGCGAACTCAATCACCTCTTCACTAAATTCTCTCAATTATTTTATACACTTTGGTCTTCCATGAAGATAATCAGTATGTGTCAATCACTGAGGAATAAACTGTCCTTTATTCATGGGCTACTGACATTTTGCATTTTACCTCTTCCTTTTGGATCATTAACATTACTTTAAAGATAATGATTTTCCAGGTGTTATTTTCTAAATGTCATCATATAAACTGAGGCATAAATTATTTAATTGCTCTCTCAAATAACTTTTATGCTTTCAAGGTAATGTAAACAGGAAGAAGGAAAACACATAATTTGAAACATTGACTGAAGGAGATATTCATAGCACAAGTATAAATTATGGAAAATGAGAAGAAATATTCAACCTAAATCTCTAATCACTAATTGGAATCCTGTGTATCAAAACCCGGTGAAAAATGTCTCCCTTGCAAATCTATACAAGCAGAAGAATTCATCTTTGTTTTTTCATTTTGTGTGTCAGAATCAAAGACCTCATAGGGGTTAGGGACGTGGGCCCCGGGCTGCTGAGCCTGGCCTCCTCTCTTAGTTATGCCGCTTTGTTGCTCAATCTCTCTTTGTATCAATGTCCTCATATGCAAAAAGATATAAAAATACTACCACAGACAGTTGTTGTGAGGAGCATTTTCTTTTAAGATTGTCTTTATCCCCAAGCCTAGAAAGACTTTTAGGTGGTTTATATTTGTTGACAAGCAAAAGGAGAGGTAGGTGGAGCCGATATTCTGGTGATTATTCATTCAGCTGAGTTACTTCAGTGAAAGATTAAGGTCTCTGGATTACAGAGCATGAATATCAGTGACCAGGAAAACTGGTAACTTGGCATCCTTTCAAACTCATACTTTGTGTTCAGCATTTGTTTAGTGGGAGCTGGGAGAAACTGACTTTGTGTTAATAAAAATAACATGAAAACAAATTGGCTTTGGTTTCATTTCCAGTAACAAGGTAATGATTTGGAGAAGTCCACCTAAAAAAGTTAGCTTAAAAGGAATGGAAGAATATTAAAATGACCATGTAAAATTACCAAAGATCTGATGAGATGTTACGGAACTAGCTGGCCGAAATCAAAGTGGAGGTGGGAACACAGACATGCAAGCAGAGCACCAAAGCTGTGTTTTCTTGTGAACATTTGCTTAAACCTAGTGAATCTGACCTTTAGTTTCCCCAGCCTGGAAAGGATTGGATGACATCTCAAGGTCAGGAGTCAAATACATGGGTATTTCCATTAGGCTGGGTCACCAAAGGGATACAAGTCAGTGTGAGAACCAGAAGTAAAACTGTCCACCTTCTACTCACTGACAAGACCATGAGAAGCCTCATCAGCAGTTCTTCCTGGAGTTCCCCAAATTCACACATCTCTGTTATTTTTTTTAAATAATTACTCAAACTTTTAACTAAATGAAAGTTTCAGACAGAGAAGACCTCAAGCAAGGAAATTTATCACGGAAAAGAAGAGTGTTACGTAATGATAGAAATGTCTTTATACCCAAGTAGACCAGTTGTTGGATGCCTGAAGAAGGCAGAGTGATCTTGGACATGGCCACATTTTCAGCAGAGGTATTTCTAGGAGAGGGCTGTAAGGTAATTTGATACTCTTCCCTGCAGCTAAGGAAAATGTGTCCTTTCAGGTCTGGGTGGCATTGAACAGTATTTATGAAACAGAACTCATTTACTCAATTAATAAATACATATGCAAATAATTACCTTGAAGACATTTGTTGTTTCTAGTGTAACTGGGATGAGGTTTCAAAGGACTTAAGGGATATATAGATAGAAGACATAAAACATGGAGATACTAATTACGGATTGACTCTTCAGTAAAAGCTGAAACCCAAAATAACAACAGTCGTGTGCTACATAATGTTTTGGTCTATGATGGACTGCATCTACAATGGCGGTCCTATAAGATTATGATGGAGATGAAAAATTCCTGTCCCCTAGTGACATAACATTGTAGCACAATGCGTAACTCATGTGCCTGTGGTGATGCTGGTGTAAACAAACCTACTGTACTGCCAGTCGTATTGAAGTTTAGCCCACAGAATTATGTGCATTACCTAAGACTTGACAATAAATGTGATATTACTGGTTAATATATTTACAATACTATACTTGTAATCGTTATTTTAGATGTACTCTTTCTCTTTTTTTATTTTTTTGAGACAGGGTCTCAATCTGTCACCCAGGCTGGAGTGCAGTGGTGCAATCTCAGCTCACTACAACCTCGACCTTCCAGGTCCAAGGGATTCTCCTGCCTCAGCCTCCCAAGTAGATGGGATTACAGGTATGCATCACCAGGTCTGGCTAATTTTTGTATTTTTAGTGGAGATGGGTTTCATTTTGTTGGTTGGGCTGGTCTCAAACACCTGACCTCAAGTGATCCGCCTGCCTCAGCCTCCCAAAGTGCTGAGATGACAGACATGAACCACCACATAGTACCTGGCCTACTTTAGAGTGTACTCCATATATATACATATATGTGTGTGTGTGTGTGTGTATGTGTACAGATATAGATATATATTTTTATATAATATATAACTTAAATATATGTTATAACACAACTTTATATATAATTTATATATTACGCTTATATAATATATATTATGCATATATCATATATAGTATGCATATATAATATATAATATACATATACCGTATAATATATATTATGCATATATAATATATAGTATATAATATATTATGCATATATTATATATAAAGTTATACACTTAACTTTATATATATAAAGTTATATATATTTATATATAACTTTATATATATAAAGTTATAAAGTTATATTTTATATATAAAGTTATCTATATAAAGTTAAGCATATAAGTTTTTATATAATACATATGTTCTGTATAACTTTATAATATATATAAATTATATATAGTTTTTATAATTATAAAATAAAAAATTATAATCAATTATATATTATATTATGTATTATATATTATAAATATTTATATAATGTATATAAATTATATATTATATATAAAATATATAATCTATATATGTATAAATTATATATATAATCTATATATGTATAAATTATATATATAATTTATGTGTATAAATATATATAAATATTTATAATTTATATATATAAATATAAAATATATTTATATATATTTTATATTTATATAAATATTTATACAATATATAATTTATATATTATATAAATATATAAATATAAAAATGTAAAATATATATATAATTTATATAATATATAATTTATATATTATATAAATATTTATAATATATATTAATATATTATATATTATAATATATATTATACATTATTTATAATATATATGAATATATTATATATTATAATATATATTATACATTATTTATAATATATCATATAATTATATAATATATAACATATATAAAGTTAAGTGTATAACTTTATAATATATGTTATATATATTATATAATAACTTTAGATATATATAAAGTTAAGTGTAAACTGCTTTAGGCAGATTCTTCAGGAGGTGTCTCAGAAGGCAGTACCCTAGGCTATGTTTTGTGTTTGTGTCTTAGTTTTTAACCAAAAAGTTTAAAAAGTAAAAAAAAAAATTAAAAATAGACAAAACCTTATAGAATAAGAATCTAAAGAAAAAATACTTTTACAGCTATAAAATGTGTTACTGTTTTAAGCTAAGTATTTTTACAAAAGAATAAAAAAGTTTAAAATTAAAAAGTTTATAAATTAAAACATTACAGTAACCTAAGTTTAATTTATTATTTATGGGGAAAAAATAGGATGGGTACAGTGGTTCACACTTGTAAACCCAATAGTTTGGGAAGCTCAGCAAAGATGATTGCTTGAGTCCAGGAGTTTGTGACCAGCCTTGGCAACATGGTGAAACCTCATCTCTACTAAAAATGCAAAACATTAGCTGAGGAGTGTGTTGGTACATGCCTGTAGTCCCAGCTATTTGGGAAACTGAGGTAGGAGGCTTGCTTATGGCCAGGAGGTGAAGGGCAGACGTTGTGGTGAACTGTGATTGTGACTCCAGCCTGGATAACAGAGATGGACCCTGTCTCCAAAAATAAAAATGGAAAGAAAAAAGAAAAAAAAAATTGTTTCAAAGTAAAACAATTTTAGAGTAAAACAATTTTTAGTGTAACCTAAGTGTATAACGTTTATAAGGTCTACAGTAGTGGGCAATAATTTCCTAGGCCTTCACATTCACTCACCACTTGCTCACTGACTCACCCAGAGCAGCCTCCAGTCCTGCAAGCTCCATTTATGGTAAGTGCCCTATACTAGCGTACCGTATTTAATCTTTGCTATTATATTTTTACTGTACCTTTTCTATGTTTAGATATGCTTAGACAAATACTAGTGTGTTACCATTGCCTATAGTAATCAGTACAGTAACATGCTATATTGATTTGCAGCTTAGGAGCAAAAGCTTATTCCATATAGCCTATGTGTGTATTGAGCTATACTTTATAGATATGTGTAAGTATACTCTATGATGTTTGCATAAAGATGGATTTGCCTAATGTCACATTTCTCAGAAGTGCCTTTGTTGTTAATTGCTGCATGACTGGTACTCTTAGAAGAATGGTAGACCAGATTTCACTCATGCCATGCTGTCACAGCCCCTCACTGCACAAAGGAAAATAGTTTTGGTGTTGAGCATAGCAAGGTAGTAAGAAAAGCATCTGAGTTATTGTAACTCTGAAGTCACAAGAGATTTACATGCCAAATTTATATCACAGATGTTTCCAAAACATTGAAATGTTTATTAATGAAAAGTAAAGCCACCAGTAGTTAGGTGTCTGGAATAAGAAAACCTAAATCTTCTCTAATGAAATATACATTTATCCTATTAATATTTCTCAAATAATATACTTTCTAAAGATAATAAGCAGTATACAATGTACAGTTCAAATAAAATGCCATTTAAGGGAAAAATGACAATGTGAAAGAGAAGCTTCAGGATCAACTAAGAGCAGAAGGAAGCCAGCTAAGAGTTTAAATACTTGCAGGTGAACCACAGAATCTGAAATAAAGATACACTTGCACATTTCTTCAAGGGGCAGGAAGCTATAAATATGATTAAGGGAATTCAAAAAAGAGTAAAGTAGAACTTCTAAAAAGAAAAAATGCAATACTTATAATTAATTCAAAATACTATGTATGGAGTTAATAGCATTTTAGATACAGAAGAAGAAAAATTATTAAACTGGAAGATAAGGCAAAGGGGATTTTCTAGAATGCAACATAGATAGAAACAGAGATGAACAATGTAAACTCAATAGTCAAGACTCTCCAAGGTAGAGTAACAATGTCTAACTTATGTCTGATTGGAGAGCCAGATGAAGAGGGAATATAGAGGAGAAATATGTTTGAAGGAATAATGGCTAGGATATAACTAAAACTGATGAAAGGTACCAATTTGTATACATATAATAAACTGAGACTCCAAATAAAGATAAATTAGTACATCCCTACGTTGACACACCAAAGTGAAAATGCAGAGCATCAAAAAGAAAAGGCATGGATGACTCCCACAGACAATATTGGGTGAGAGAAACACAGTGCAAGGAATTTACGTAGTTCGCTTCCATTCACATAAAATTAAAAATCAAAACTGAGCTCGATTGTTTAAGGATGTATAAGAAAGTGGTAAAATTATAAAGCAAGTAAGAAAATGATAATTAGAAACATCAAGAGAGTGATTATTTCTATAAAGAAGGGAAAAAATTATAATTGAGAAGGCAGGTAGAAGATTCTGAGGTGCTGGAAAATGTTCTATTTCCTGACCTAATCTATGGGTAGATGGGTATTTCTTGTATTATAATTCCTTAAACTACATATTTGTGTTTTATATATTTATTTAGTACATTATGTCTCTAAATTTAAAGATGAAACACACTAATTTACTTTCACTGAATGAACTAAGATTGCCCTGAAAACGTTTGGTAATACCATTTCCCAAATGCCTGAATTTCTCACTTCCTCAGTTTTAGTTGTTTTCTCCAGCCTGTCAACTAGGGCATATTATTTAATAGATATAAATGGTTCACAGATAATGAAATAAGCCATTCATTTCCACTTAACATTGCTATATCATGCCTTTTTAGTTTTAACATCACAACTAACACTATGCATTCAATAAAATTCTGAGATGTTAAGCTTAGATTTTTGGGTATAGTTACATACAAGTAAAGAAGAGCAGCAGGTTTGGTGCAGATAATTATATAAAGTTTGACATATTTGTTTAAGCTTCTTGTAAAATACACAGATGGAAATATTCAATAGATGGTTGTGAATAGGTATAACAGTGCATTCCTATTCTAGAGTCCATATCGATCCAAAACTCAGAGATTGTGGGGTCAGAAGTAGATTTGTAAGTCATCTGTTGAGAGGCCATCTGTATTTGTTTGCTAGGACTGCCAAACCACAGATTGGATGGCTTAAACAACTGAAATTTACTTTGGCTAGAAGTCTGAGATCAAGTTATTGGCAGTGTTGGTTCCTTCTGAGGGTTGTGAGGGAACTACTTGTTCTAGGCCTCTCTCCTTGGCTTGTAGGTGACTGTTTTCTTCCTGTGCCTTCACGTCGTCTTCCCCCTGCACTGTCTTTGTCCAAACTTTCTCTTCTTAAAAGGCACCAGTCTAATGGATTCATGGCCTTACTTTAATTATTTCTTTAAAGATTCTATCCACAAGCAGGGTTACCATCTGAGGTACTAGGGATTACGACTTCAACACATAAATTTTTTCAATGTATAAGGAAATTTAGCCCATAAGACCATCAATTAAAACCTCAGACAAGATGACCTGGCCAATGTGCAGAGCACATTGAGAAAAGAGGGCTCTGAAAAAAAAGCCATATTCAGAAGAGGTAGAAGAGGACAGAGGCTGAGAAGGAGATAGTTTAAAGAGATGATCAGTGAAATGAAAAATGGCAGAACATTCAATGAGGATCTATCTTGACTTAGTAAAGCAAATGAACTTAGTGAAGCTATATGGTGACCATTGATAGAAAAGAGTTTGTAGAGTGGAAAGGAGTGGAAGACCAATTGAAGTAGGTAAAGGAGTACACCTAAGAAGGCACAGTGAAAATGGAAAGATAGCAACGAATGTTAAGAAGTAGTAGAGGAGCGTTAGAAAGAAGGAGCTGATATAATCACTGTGTGGGTGATTGTGCAGGGCAAATGATAGAGTGACCACTAAAATATGGCTTATGATTGAGCATGAGAAATCATTTCAATGCTACAAATGCAGACAGAAGATGCAGGTACAGAATTTTTGTCAGGAATACCGCTTACTATAGACCTATTTACCAGGGGAAGGCCAGTGTTCAAATTCCTCCTAAAATGTTATTAAGGGAAGTTGATAGGACAACTGCAAGTATCAATACCACTATAACATTCTACTCATAACACTGGCAAAATTTCTCATTTATGCTCCTATAAAATCACTATCTGAGAGTCCATTTCAACATTGTAAGTTTCTTCTGTGTACTAAATACTATTCTAGGAAAATGCTGAAAATTTAAATTGGAGGAGAAAAAAATTACTGTAGAAAATTATTTCTTGTTTACATCTAATATTAACTATATTTTATATAGTTATGTTAATTTAAATAATATTTAGCTTAAAATTTAATTGTACTTTTCCTTCTCTTGGAATTAAGCTTTCCACATAACAAAAAGTTTTTAAATTTTCAAATAATCAATTTTCAAATATAATTTCAGCTCATAATATATGGAAAATGGGGAGCATCTTGTTCCACCATCCAGATAGATATTATTTATCATTTTCTGTACTTTCTTCTGGTACAAACATTTCATAAAAACAAACTGACTTACAGGGAGGGGAACAACACACACTGGGGTCTGTCTTGGGGGGAGAGGAAAGGTGAATATCAGGATAAATAGCTAATGCATGCAGGGCTTAATACCTATTTGATGGGTTGATAGATACAGCAAACCACCATGGCACATGTTTATTTATGTAACAAACCTGCACATCCTGCACATGCATCCAGGAACTTAAAAATTAAAAAAAAAAAAAAAAAAAAAAAAAAAAAAAAAAAAAACTTGCCCATACTGATGCTATTGTTCTTTCAACAGTTGACCTTTTCTCTGGCATTGTATCTTTAAGTGTATAAACACTTAAGCCACATCATTTTGAAACAAGAAGGAGACATTAGCCTATTGTTCTTTCTGATGGATATGCTTTAAGCTATGTATAGAAGTTATGCAATGTATGTTTTCATATTATTAGATGATTTATCCAATTGATATACTGTCACAAAAGAGTTAAAATGCTTAATGTTCTTGTAAAAGAGGCTACCTAGTGAGAAGTTTCAAAACAAAATAAATCTTTTTCCTAAAAAAATTTTTTTAAGAATACTATTTAACATTTGCTAAGTTGATATTATTAATTCATGTGTATATAATATATACTTTTTCTATTATGTTATTAATTCCACATTCTTTGAAATCTGAGAGGATAAAAAAGCTTTCATATATAATCATCAAATCAGGATCTTCATGAAAAATTTTAAAAACTCATAGAAAAGCAACAAATGTAAACATAACATGCTGTTATATTATTGCCATCTTGAGTTTTAGTTCCACTGTAAACCAAATTTTATCTATGGTTATTAACATTATAATGGAAAAGTTCTAGAAAGCATCATTAAAACTTAGTAATTATTTTTCACTACTAGGCAATTGTGAACTGTTAAAATCAAACAAAGACTGTTAACACCACCAGTACATTTGTCTTTTGTACTGACTCATTGAGGATGAATCTAGGCTAGACGTTTCTAATGGGGAAAACTCTTCTTATCCATCATGTATTCCCAGTTTAAGTACTGTGTAAAATAACTGCATGTTGTATTAAACTGAATTATATGTTAATGTAAATAGTTGCAATAGTAAAACCTATTTAAGAATCGTTTTTGAATAGACTATTTAAATCTATTTAAGACTAAATGACTATTATGACTATTACTACTGCCAATGTTATTTAATGTAACCTGTTTTTGAGCCCAATAAAATTATTCACTAAATCAGTCTTTCAATATTTACTAAGCACTTATTTGTGCCAAGCTCTCTTCCAGGCATTGGGACTCAGCAGTGAACAAAACACCCAGAGATCCCTGCCCTAATCAAACTTCGATTCTACTGCTAAAGACAGATAATAACTACATGTGAGTAAATAGATTACATTAAGATGTACATTGGCTGGTGGTTAAGTGCTATAGAGAAACAGAGCAGAAAATAGATACAGGGAAGGAGTGCAGTGGGGGTGAGATTTATGGCCTAAAGTAAGGTATTCAGGAAAAGTATTCATGTGCAGTTAGTATTTCAGCAAAGACATAAATGCAGTGAGGAAGTGGAACCTGGGAGAACTAGCAATCTCACAAAAGTATAAAAATGTCTGCAAGAAATTTGTCATAATTTATTTCAAAATTTGGTATAAAATATTGATAACATGATTTTCTTAGGCTATCTATCCATCTTCTTAGACATCTGCTTAAAACATATTCAAATTATCCACATTTTAAAACCCTTACATATAGGGAGGATTTAACTCATTAATGATAAAATCTAATTATAACTCTGAAAAAGTTATTTTGGAGGAAGAACTACTTATAGCATATAGAAGTGTGGCAGGCCAGGTCTCACTGATGCAGGCCTCCATAACAACTCTTTCAGCACTGACCGAGTGGTTAAGTTAAATACTAAAAGCCAGTGTCATTATACAAAGGCTGGAATGTAACACAAGCCCATCAAGAGTTTTGCCTAGGCCTTTTTTGGGCCTTAAAGCATGACAAAATAATGAAGGAATTCTTAACAGGACCCATTGAGGACTAAAAAAGTTTTACTGTGAGTCTAAAGAAACTCCCTAGGCCTCCATAAACAAGTTTATTGGGGATCTGAAGGAACCCCCCCAAACCTCCATGATTTAGCAGGAGACAAGATAGGGGTAATCACCCTAGCACCTGGACCCATTTACGTTAAGTAAATTTACTGAGGCTCCAGAGGAAACCTTTCAGGACTCAGACATTAGTTATAGATTAAAAGAAGTTAATCACTAATGTCTTTAGATGAATGCACACTTACACGTAGACATATAGCTTACATGGTATATAGCTTAAGGTATACAAGCTCTGGAAAACTTTGAAATTTTGAGTTGCTCTGGCAACAATTTCCAGGCCTTCTCCCTGCAACTGGTTGCAGAAATTAAAACTCTTTTCCTCCCCAGCTCATCTGCATTTCACTATTGAGCCATGAGAAATAGCAGCCCAATGCTCAGTTTGGTCTGGCAACAGAAGTAAATACTAGCTATTTGTAAAATATTAAAATATGTCATAAAAATCTGAGTTTTAGTGAGGCAAGGGAGCATAATGTGTGGATATCTGAGGAGAGTATTCCAAGGACCAGAAACAGCAGTACAAAGGTGGGATGGTTTATTAGCCTATTTCATACTTTTAATAAAGACATAACTGAGACTGGGTCATTTATATAAAGGAAAGAGGTTTAATTGACTCACAGGTCAGCGTGGCTGGGGAGGCCTCATTACAATCATGGCAAAAGGGGAAGAAAACATATCCTTCCTCACATGGCAGCAGGAAGAAGTGCCTAGCAAAGTGGGAAAAGCCCCTAATTAAACCATCAGATATCATGAGAACTCACTATCATGAGAATAGCATGGAGGTGACTGCCCCCATGATTAAACTACCTCCCACTGGATCCCTCCTACAACACATGGGGATTATGAAAACTAAAATTCAAGATGAGATTTGGTTGGGGACATAGCCAAACAATATCAGATGGTGAATGTAATTCCCAGTCATGATTGTATCTGATGAGCTCCACCAATGGTTGGGAGGCCTCTGAGGCTGGAGTAGAGACAGTAAGAGCAGGTAGGTAAAAGGTGAAATGAGAGAGTTGGGTCTGATGGAGCATGGCCTTGTAAGCCATTTAATGATGTTGGTTTTATTTTGAATGAAATGGGGCCATGCAGAGTTTTGAGTGGAGAAACACATGATAGCCAGTTTGCACAGGACCAGTCTTGCTGATGTCCTGAGATTAGCCACAGTGAATAAGTAGATAAGCAGAGAGATGAGCTGAAAGTCCATTATGGTAATGTAGGCCAGAGGTGATGTCAGCATAAATGAGGGCAATCGGGGGTGCTGAGCAGAGGTTGGGCTCAAGATGTACTTTACAGTAAAAATTAAGAGGATTTTCTGATGGAATGGGTAGGGGATGGGTGAGAGAAAAAGAGGAGTCAAGGATGGCTCCAAATTGTGGGTAGAGGTAACTGGAAGAATAGAGCCTCCATTAACTGAGATGAACAGACATTGGGAGAAAGAAACACATCTGTGGAAGGGATGAAATTCAAGTGAAGATGATTAATATGAGCTTGGAGGTCAGAGGAAAAGGCCAGGCTAGATATATAAACTTGGAAGTAATGAGCACATACATGGTACTTAAATTCATAAAATTTGAGTAGAATCCCCAAGGGAGTGAATAACAAAAAGAGATTCAAATTTGAGCCTTAGAGCCCTCATGCTAATAGGCCTTGGGATATGAGAAGAAATCAACAGACCATAAAAGGAAGCAGCCAATGAAATAGAAAAAAACTTGGAAATTGCAGAAGTGACATAAAGCGTACTGAAAGGCAGGAATTGATCAACTGTGTTCAATGCTGTTGTTGAGAGGTTAAGAAAATAAGGACTGAAAACTGACCATTAGATTCACAAAAGGAGATCAATTACCAGTGTCCTGGCCAAAAGCACATCTTGTGGAGTCATAGAGTGAAAACTTGAAGGAACAAAGTTCGTGAGTGAATAAGTCAGGAAGTAGCATCTATGAGCTGCTTTTAAAAAAAGAGAGCCAGAAAGTAAGTGAGTTCAACAATTTTTTTTAAAACAGCTTTATTGAGATATAATTTACATTTCATAGCCTTGTTTTATATATCCATTTATTTATTTTGAGTTAGGAGAAATAAGATCATGCATGCATGTATTTATTCTGTTGAGAATAATCCAAAAGAGAAGGAAAACCTTGATGATATGGATAGAGATGAATGAATTGCTGGCATAAAATTCTTGGATGGAATCCAGTATACAAATGAAAGAGTTAACCTCTGGCAGTGGCACAGAGAGTTCATCTGGATAAATAAGAAGGTAGGTAGAGTTTGAGTAGAAAGCTGGTAGAGTTTTTTTTGACAACTTTTGTTTTCTCAGTAAAACTGGAAATAACGTTATTAATAGAAAGGGATGTTGGGAAAGAGGTGTTGGATGTTGGAGAGGAGAGAAGATATGAAATAGAAGAGTGTGACAGCCAATGAACTAAAAGAATAATTGCCTAGCTGTCTTAAGGGTCCATCTGGGGTAATGAATTTGAGATACACAAATTAGCATATTTTACCCAGTTGTGTTCATCTGCATAGTGTAGTTGGGAGCAGGAAAGAGTTTAATTTAAGCCATGGTTAGGGTTGTGCCAAGCAAGTGTGATGAAATATTCCCCTATTCTCCTAAGCAAAAAGTAGTCTCACTTTCCTTGGAGCTTCCATAGTGTTTCTCTTCAATCTTGCTTATTGAAATGTTCTATCTTGCATATATTCTTGTTGCTCAACAGCCCCTAATAACTTTGTATCATTCTAGTCCTCTATGTGTCTAAGCCTACTGTGAAGCATATAGCAGAATAATTACATCATAATGGTAATCTAAAAAATAGGATTCCCGGGATCAAATCTTCTTCACGATGAAGACATATATGATAAAGAAAAGAACATCATCAATGGCAGTGTTACTATAAGTCATATGTCTCAAAGTATAGTATAGCTACCTCTGAAATATACTTTTTTCTCTGTTGGAAAGAAGTCCTTTATGAACTATCTTTATGAATTTGTGAATCATTGAAAGAAACAGAGCTGGGCTTTGTAAAAATGACAAAATCAGTGAGTCAGTCTTTAGTCTCTTTAACCTTCATTTGTTACCTCTTTCTCTGTTCTGGGAGTGAGTCCTCCTCTCCAGCACTAAAATGTCTATTGTTTACCATCTCCAAATGCCTGACTCATAGAAAAAGCTCTGATACTTATACTGGTGTGAGATTTAATATTGCATAACTTTCAGTAAACGTGCCACCTTAACCAGGCAAATGCAATTGAACTGTTCAACCTGTTAAGTTCCGTGCCCTTTCAAAATAATTTAAGACTCAACAAATAAACTAAACAGATTTGGCCGGCCAAGGAGCATGTGTAAAAGCATTCAATATGCATTGGTTGAAGCCCTCAGAACAGGTAGGAATTATTTATTTGTTTTTAATTAGTTGAGTAATGAGTGGATAAAGGGGAAGAAAAAGGATGTTGGTCCATACCTTTTCCCCCTTCCTGGATTCCTCTGCTTTTCTGGGGAGAATAAACTAAGGACTGCTTTCACTTTAGCTGCCGAAGTCTTCTTGGTAGCAATTGGGAGCAGATGAAGAGCAAATGGCATCATTGAAGCTGTGGAGTTGGCCTTTCCTTTTTCTAAGTCCACCTGACTGGCACGAGAGATTCCTCCATTGTCAATCCTCTCAATCCTGCTTATGATAGACAAGACCAGAACTTCTCTGAGATTCTAACTTGAACTTCTCTCTTTACCCAGGATATCTAGATACATATTAATGAATGCTATTTTCTATTTAAATTTGTTTTTGTCATAAAACATTCTTCTTATGTTGTTTCCATTTTAATGTCTGTCTACTTACTTATATATCTTATTGTAAAATAAAAACTTATATCATTGGAGTCTGACATATCCTCGTGAATAATAAAGCTATTACTGTACTGTTATACATCTTAGTACATCTATACCTGTACTTATGCAATAGTTCTATATTTTTTCTAAGAAAATGCCTAATAACATATTGATAAGTAAAGAGTTCTTTGTTTCAAAGTAGGTTAATGTTTAAAATACATTTTGTTGTTAAGGGAAAGACAATCAGAATATTTGAGTTTCTTGAGGTATTAAGACTCCTGCAGTGATTAATAGGGGGCAGATAAATGTGTGTATCCTCAGCGTATTTGGTTTTTAATCCTGGGGCTTTTAGTTCCTGGCTTTGTTGTTTGCACAGGGCGGCAAGAAGGCATGCTCTGGGTTTGGTATAAGCTGGATTTGGTCCAAAAACAGGATGTCACAGGAGTAAGGCACTAAACTGACTGAAAATAGATTTCGTCTTTGACAGGCGATGACATTTACCTTTGCTCTCTCATCACCAAGTTTACCACACCTAGCCCATGATGACAGACAGTGGGATGAGTTGGTATAAAAACCAAAGTTACAGGGGCCCTTGCGGACCTGTCTCTCCAGAATGACTATCCTCCATTTCTAGGTCCCAAATCATAACCATGAAGTTGATCTTATGGTACTTGGCTGTGGCACTTTGCTTCTGCTGCAAAGGTAAGAAAGATTTAAAGAATTATTTCCAATGTGATGGACTGCACGTATATATTTGTTTCATTGTTTAGTGTTCTCTACCTCAAATTTTCTTCCTAGCAATCTTTCTTACACTACACCTTAGAGTAGGATAAGAAAACTGGATTTTTCATACTTACCTGGCAGGGGAGATACCATGATCATGAAAACTGGATTTTTCAACCTAGTATTACTTCAGCTTTAACAATCCTGTCTTAAGGATGTGGATACAGGCATATCTTGGAGATATCTTTGGGTTTGCTACAGCCATAAAGTGAATATTGCAATAAAGCAGGTCACACACAGTTTTTGCTTCCCAACATGTGTAAAAGTTATGTTTACCCTATACCATAGACTAAGGGCACAATAGCATTATGTGTAAAAAACAATGTCTATACCTCAATTAAAAATACTTTATTGTTAAAAAAAACGCTATGATCATTTGAGTCTTCAGGAAGTTGTAATCTTTTTGCCAGTGGAGGGTCTTGCCTTGATGTAGACTGCTGCTGAGTACCCAATGTGGTGACTGCTGAAGGTGGGGGCGGCTGTGGCAATTTCTTAAAATAAGAAAGCTATGACATCTGCCGCATTGATAGACTCTTCATTTCATGAAAGATTTCTCTGTAGCACGCAATGCTGTTTGATAACATTTTACCCACAGTAGAACGTCTTTCAAAGTTGGAGTCAGTTTTCTTAAACCCTGCTACTGCTTTAGCAACTAACTTTATCTAATATTCTAAATCCTTTGCTGTCATTTCAACAGTGTTCACAGCATTTTCATCAGAAGTAGATATCAATTAAACAAACTACTTTCTTTGCTCATTCATAGGAGCAATTTGTCATCTGTTCAAGTTTTCTCATGAGATTGCAATTCAGTCACCTCCACTTCTAATTCTAGTTCTCTTGCTCTTTCTACTACATCCACAGTTACTTCTCCTGAAGTCTTGAACCCCTAAAAGTCATCCATGAGGGTTGGAATCAGCTTCTTCCAAACTATTTTAATGTTGATATCTTGGCTTCCTCTCATGAATCATGAATGTGCATCTAGAAAAGTGAATCCTTTCCAGGAGATTTTAAATTTACTTTGACTATATTCATCAGAGGAATCAAATCATTATTTATGGCAGCTATAACCTCATGAAATGTATTTCTTCAATACGAAGACGCGAAAGTCAAAATTACTCCTTTACATCTGGGCTGCAGAATGGATGCTCTGTTAGCAGCATGAAAACAACATTACTTTCCATGTATCTCTCCATCAGAACTCTTGAACTCTTGTCAATGAGCAGTAATATTTTGAAAGAAATTTTTTATACTGAGCAGTAGCTTTAAGCAATGGGCTTAAAATATTCAATAAACCCTGCTGTAAACAGATATGCTGTCATCTAGGCTGTGTTATTCCATATATACAGCATTGAAAGAGTAGATTTAGCATAATTCTTAAGGGACCTAGGACTTTCAGAATGGTCAATGACCAGTGGTTTTAACTTCAAGTCAGAAGCTGCATTAGATCCTAAAAAGAGAATCAGCCTGTCTTTCAAAGCTTGGAAACCAGGCATTGACTTCTCTCTAGCTATGAAAGTCCTAGATGGCATCTTCTTCCAATCGAAAGCTGTTTTGTTTACAATGAAAATCTGTTGCTTAGTGCAGCCACCTTCATGAATTATTTTAGCTAGATCTTCACCTCTGAACTTGCAGCAGCTTCTCCATCAGCCCTTGCTACTTCACTTTGCACTTTCATGTTATGGAGACAGCTTGTTTCCTTAAACTTCATGAGCCAACCTCCGCCAACTTTAAACTTCTCTTCTGTGGCTCCCTCACCTCTCTTAACCTTCAGAGAACTGAAGAGAGTTACAGCCTTTTTCTGGATTAGGGTTTGGCTTAAGGGAATGTTGTGGCTAGCTTAATCTTGCCAGGCCACTCAAACTTTCCTCATATCAGAAATAAGGCTGTTTTGCTTTTTTATCATTCATGTGTTTGCTGGAGCAGCACTTTTAATTTCCTTTAAGAACTTTTCTTTTGCATTCACACATTGGCTAAGTGTTCAGCACAAGTGACTTAGCTTTCAGCCTGTCTTGGCTTTCCGCATGCCTTTCTCAGTAAGCTAACTTTTGATATTAAATGCAAGATCTAGTGATATTAAATGCAAGATCATTTCTGACTTTTGATATTGAATGCAAGATCTGCCACTCTTCTTTTCACTTGAACATTTAGAGGCCATTGCGGAGTTATTAATTGGCCTAATTTCAATAGTGTTGTGTCTCAGGGAAAAGGGGAGCCCAAAAAGAGGGAGAGAGATGGGACCAATGACCTGTTGGTAGAGAGGTCAGAACATAAGCATATATTAAGTTTGCCATCTTATTGAGCATGGTTTGTGATGCCCCCCAAAAATTATAATAACAACATCAAGAATCACTGATCAAAGATCACTATAATAGGTATAAGAACAATTAATTTGAAATATCGTGAGAATTATGAAAACATAATTCAAAGACATGAAGTGAGCACATGCTGTTGGAGAAATGGTGTCAACAGAGTTGCTAGTCACAGGGTTGCCACAAATCTGCAATTTGTAAAACACACAATATATGTAAACCTCAGTAAAGTAAAGCACAATAAAATGAGGCATGCTTTTAAACATATGTATACACATTTAGATATGTTTGTTTTTAGCAACTACCTAGAAATATTACTAAGCAGGTCACACAAGATACATATAGGGTTGTTTGTTACTCATTTTCATGTTATTCAGTTTATACTTTGATGGTTCTATCTAGAATGCATATCCATATTAAGACTAAAGATACAAACAGGTTATCATGTTTTTCACAATCAATAAATTATTACCAATTAAAAAACTGGATCATCACCAAAAGCAACACTTCTTAAACTAACAAACTTCCAAGATATTTTAGAAAGTTCATTAATTAATTTCAGAAATTAATTTAAAGGCAAGATGTCACTCATTTTGAGAAAAGTAAACATTAAGCAAAGTGAAAATGTCCGTAGAAACAAAGGTTGTTCTGTTTCTGAAAAGGGTGGAAAAGAAGACATTATCCAAACATAAGGGAAAAAGTCTGCAAAAAGCAGGAGATTTTATTTTAATATCTAAACTTAAAATCTATTCTTTAAATTTGAGAGTAGAACACAAAACACACGTTACTTTCCCCTGAGATGCCAGAATATAGAGGACTGTGATTATTTGTCATGGTTAAGAGAAAATATTTCTATGTTTAATTCAACTATCTGGGAAATTACCTGATGAACCATTAGAAAAGGATTACTTTGTGTAATGGTGATTCTTATAACCTACATAGTGCTTTGCTATATTCTTTTTTCCTGTTGTATAAATGTGTTTTTTGTTTTTTAAGAAACGGAGCACAGACCACATTATTTTCAAAGCATTTATTAAATGATGTCTTATCACCATAAAAATAATTTTAAAAGTATTTGTTAAAGCATATTAAATTTGTTGAAGAATTGACTCATGTTTCTAAAGTAAATTCCTATATGTCCATCCATTGTAGTTCTGGAAAATGATATTTCAATAGACTTTCCATAGATAGGTGATTTATAAACAAGATTCAAAGATTTTATGTATTTATTCATGATGTCATAGTGAGAACTAAGAAACATACTTGGAAAAAATTCTAGTTGCCTTATTTGAAATGAATTTTTGTTGCTCTTAGTCAATGAGATTTATGTTTCAAATATGAACTCCCTTCATTTTCAGTAGGTTACAAGATAACATCTTGGGGCCTGGAAATTGCTAACGGCAAATATTTAGGCAGTATCATATAATCAATTGGAAGAAACGTTTGCATTGTTTAACCAAGCATAACTATACAGAAAGAAAAAAATATTGAAAAACAATTTTCTGGTTAAGTAGAAGAAGAGCAGATATAAGAGACATAGTTAAGGCATAAAATAAATATGTATAATCTGGTTTTATTTTTTTCTCAGGCTCTTCTATATTCTCATTAAAGTCCAAATAATTGATTCTGTTCTTTTATTCTTATTTCTTTTTTGTCTAATTCACTGCTTGTGAACACATTACCCAGAAAATGTTTAGGGGAAATAAAAGCATATGAAATTTGGATCAGAAAACATACTTTAGATCAAGAGCTGTAGTTGTGTGAAAAAGATATAAGATACTGGCTAATATTAATTTGTGAGCTTAATTTATTTGGTCATGCATATTTTCAAGTCTGAGTTAGCATTGAGAATTTTGATATCAAGTATGCTGGTAGGTAAATGTGTTACATAGATTATTTCCTATTAAATAAAAAAGCTGTGAAATAATAAATTACTGTTAAAGTATTACAGTTATCAGATATAAAAAATGGATTGCTTATATTGAATTTTAAGGAAGAATAAAAACAAAAAGAATGTCTTTTTCATTGTCTTAAATATGTTATAGGGAATTATAAAATAACTTTTTTTTCGTTTTTAAAATAGATGTGGAAGCCCTATTTTACCGACAGAATTCAGGTCAGTATCCTTCAGGAATTAATCTTTACTTTGAAACATTATGCTGCATTGTGAGGCTGCTTTTGAATCAGAAAATAAATGTGCTTCCTACACACTCGGTTTTGTGAATGAGCTCCCATGACTCCTCATTTACCCCGCATGATTCTGAATTCCTTGAGGACAAGATTTTGGTGTATGCTGTTCATCCGATAGTCATAATGCCAAGAGCAGTGGCTGCTATGGAGTGGGTACTCACTACATCTTTGTTTTAAATTAATAAAATAAATTGAGATTATTAATATAAGATTTATTTGCCTACAAACATTTTCTACATGAAAGCAACCAAATGCTTCGCAAGGTAAACTTTCTGAAATAAACCAAGGATACTCTAACTTCTTACCAAAGAACACAAGGGACTTCTGGAAATAGCTTAATTCTTTTTTGTGGACATGAAAATGCATGTCCATTATCATAATATATTCTATATAATGATGCCCTTGTTATCTACTGACTTGTGTAAGCCAGTTTGTCCCTATTCCAGAGATGGTTTCTGAGTTTCTCTGTCTGCTTTTGATTTGCCTTTCTGTCCCCTCTCTTCTGTTCAACAACTAGCTCTATATTCTCACAGGATCATCATGTCTAGGTCCAGCAGCCAGTTACAATTCTTACTTACTGTTTTCAGTCCACTGGGCTGAGAACACCATTGATGCAAGCTCATTAAGCCTTGTACCTGTGGTAAGGTTGTGCACTCTGAGTGAGGTCCCAAGAGATTTCTCCTGATGGGGACAGTGAATAAGCAAGAATTCATACACGTATTTGATGATACCTCTATTTGCTGCAAGAGGATTTAGGGACAACTTCTTGACTGTAATCTGCACTGCAGATAGAATTTTCCAGGTGTTTAAACTACAGAGGATATTTCTGTGCAGTTTTCTTTTGAAACATTTATATAAGTGTCTCCAAATCCCATCTGTAAGCTATTTCTTCTTAGCCTTTGGCTAAATATGTGTGTGTGCATTTGTTTGTGCAACTACATAACATTTGGTTTTGACAACAATTTATGAGAACATATGTGAAATGCTTTATCTTTTAAATGTGCTGTTTACTGTTTGTCTTAATTTACTCCTTCATCTCTGGGATAGGTTTACTGATCATAAGTCCTGGATTTTCCTGAATTGGATTTTAGTTCCAATTTCTAAAAGTTTATTCTAGTATCAGACCATGTGCCTTGACTCTTTATTTGAATAATTTGGTCAGTTTGGGTTTAGAAAATTTAAAGATTATAGAGCATAGAGAAGCATTAAAAACAAACCGCAATTCTGTAAGTCACCAAATAAAAATGTCACCAAAAACATCTTTGAGGTTTCTTTAATATGTAATCAACATGCAACTTTATGCAATATTTGTTGCCATTGTTAAGTATTTTATTTCACATAATTATTGAGAAAATTCTTTTGGAAAGCAATGACTTGATTTAATAAAAATATTTTTATATTTGCAAATCTTAATAAGTGCATTTGTATGTAAATTATAGTTTTTGTTGCAAACTACCAATTCTTATTGTGAGTTTTTGACTCAGCTGTACTTATAGCTTGACAAGGCTGCACATTTACATGCCATTTGTTTAAGTATGGAGAAAATTTACCTTGATTTACAATAATGACAAATAATTTTTAAGTTGTGTATACATAAATTTTAATATTCAGCGGTAAGCTAGAAATTCTAGCCATTTGATTCAGATTAATCATATTTATTCAGTATTTTTGTCACATGAAAATATCTTAACTAAATCTTCTGTATTTTACTAAAAGAATAATAATTAGTGTTTTGAAGCACCTTTTAAGGCATCTAAGAATTATTGAGTTTTGCCACATTCTAATTTATGCATTTGGACTGGGCATGAGAGTGACTGGAAGAATAGCCCAGACATTCTCCTTTATGGGGGTATTCTGGAGAGGTAGAAATGCACCAATGGCTAATTACCATATTCATGCCTGAGTATTTAATTCAAAGAGTGTATCTCTTTGGGAGTACCTCCCAGCGACAGGAAATGGCTCTAATCAAGATTCACTTTCTGCTACTAATGACAGCAATTCTCCTTTTATTTCTTCAGGTGGTAAAACAGCTGCAAGCAGATCAGGTAAATGACTTTGTTCTCATTTCTTATATTGTTTATACTCAAAAGCAATAGGGTGGTAGTGCTTTGCTTTGGACACAGGGCATATCTCCCCTGGAAAAATCCTTCAAAAGCTTAAAACATAATCTCCCTTATTATTACAGACATGCTTTAATGTGTTTTTGTATAACCTGGGCCAGACATTTTAATCTTTGATCAATACTTATACAGGTGGTGAAATTTAAAATGGAAAATTGCTCTGGTTATTTGCTTTTCTAGAATGTCTTAAACCTGTGGTAGAAATGTGTACATGGATTTAAGGCTTTACTTTCCTTATTTTCATCAGCAGGACATGCTGTCGTTTTTTTCTTCCAAGATTAATTCCTCAGTGATCTGCTTTAAAATCAATCTAGTTTCAACAGTTTTGCTAGATCCTGTCAGGTGACTGAGTATCAACATTCTCCTTTTCTGTTTGTTTCTCTACCCACGGAAATGAAAAATGAGTCATAGCAAATCAACTAGACTGCTTTTATTAAGTTTTTCTGAAATCCAACATTATTAAGATTATTATTGCTAATATCAACTTAGATTCAATTGCATTCTGGTCTATTGTACACAGCAATCAAAATAGTCCAATATACTTTCCTGTGCTTTTCTTACAGGACATTTTACATCCCTACCTTATTCTATAACATAAACAAAATGTAATTTAAAAAAGTTTTCACATAAAGTGAGATTAAGCAGCAGCTCAGTTGTGTCAGAAAGACAGCAAGGTTATTTTTTCACAGGTATGGATGGGACTCATTAAGTTCCATCACAGTGACATAGTAAGAGTTTGTCTACAAAATCTGGTTGTTACTTTTATCGATGGGGGCATAAGAGTCTCCAGCATTCCTTTACAAGCCCCCATTTAAAAATGAGAGAAAAGTAAGGGTACGCTTGGGATTCTATAGTTCTCTGAAAGTTCTTTAAAATTCTGAGGAATTGAATTTACTCTTACGTGTGTCAGGGAACTTTGCAGGTCTGGTTATTATTTAGGAGGGACATGGGGTTCTCCAAGGATAGAGCTGCATTAAGTGAATAAAAATGTCAAGCAAGGAAGTCCCCATTAAACCCTCAACCAGCCAACATTAAACTGGACAAACCATAGGGCATAGTATTCCCTCAAACTGTTCATTCCTACCGAGACTCATGCGTTTGAGGAAAGGATTATAGGCCACTACAGGACTTTGTGTTTTTTGATATCCACTGATTTTTACTGATGTCAGATAACATAATTCATTTGTTCCCATTGCTTTAAAAATCTTCCTATCCACACAGCTGAATCATGTTCACCTCTCTTATCCGGCCATTTCTCTCCATGAGGTAGGGGTGAAGAAGCAGAATTATCTCTATTTTTCTTTTCTTCTCCATTCTGTGGTTTAAAGTATAAGCTAACCCTTCCAAAATGTTGTGCAAAATGTAATATAAACATTTTATTTATCCTTAAGTTATGAAATAGATAAATATTTTATTTATCTTTGTGCAGTATATACGTAATCTGTCTTTAAGCAAGATGAAGACACTGTACATTACACTTAAGAGCAAAAGATTTCTTGGCAGATTTTTTTAACCATGCAATCTTGGACAAATTATTCAGTCTCTTCAAAATATCTATTTTCTCATCTACAAATGAAGAAGATTAATGGCACCTACTCATAGAATTGAGGCTACTAAAGCAATGAGGCATATAAAGTACTGTTATGCAGATGTTGTCCATTTGAAAAACATACTGACCATTACTCCTAGTAACTTCAGCAGTAAATATTTCTGAGCAAGTTTCATATAATAAAAACAAAAGAGATAACATAAAGTTAATAAAGTTAGTGAAGACAAATGTGGCACATTGAATGTGCAGGATGCCAGGTCTACTCATTTCAACATTAGAATGAAGAAATATTGCTCTAATAAAATGAAGGATCTAATATGTCTCTGGAGTTGAACTCAGGAGAGGTATGATGAGTATGACAAACACATCATGAATTAAATAAGTGAAATAAAATGAATCTTAATGAGTTTGATGCAGTAAATTTGCTGAGGCAAGTCAAATGTATTAGAGGACAGGGTTTATCCTAATTGAATGTT